GAGAGCGTCAAGTAATCAGCCATTAGCGGTCACCATAACATGGGTAGTTTATAACAAGGAGAGTGGCGGTTGAGAGTAAACGCCTGACAATATCCTGTCGAGTACTTGACAAAGTCGCCGAGGAAAGTTCATTTTGTGATCCGCTTTCACAGGAAAGTCGGGTTATTTTTCACACTCTCCTGGCAAAGAAAAGCTGGGCAACAAAGCGAAATATTTCAGGTTAAAACTCTTACCGAATTTTGTGTCAAGCTGTTTCAAGGGTGAACTTTGCTCGTTCCAGTTTGGTGTAAATATGGAATGTGCTGTAAGAAATACTTTATTATTATGATGATGAAAAATGATGTGTGAAATAGTTGCACATACTGTTTATAAAGAAATATTGCATGTAATATCAAATATGCTGTGTGTACAATGATTGTTTTATATATAAGAAAAAGTGTTGTATGCATAATGAAATATTAGCACATAAGTACGATGTATAAGAATTCAGCTTTATGCATATTGAAATGTGTTATGTGTGGTATGTGGTATAAAATATGGTATATGTAAAACAATGTTCTTTATGTACAATAAAATGTGTTGTACTTATAATGAAATCTGCATGCATAATGGAATGTACTATATATACACATCCAAATGCGTTGCATGTTTAATGAAATTGCTGTATGCACAAGAGATTTTACTATGTGTACAGTTGTACAATTACATCTCGGTACATTTGCTGGGTCCCACTTTTGTACATCTAGCAGCAGTTTCGATGTAAACGTAGCGTAAAAAAACATTTTATATGATACGAAAAACGTAGTTGTAACGAAGAGCATGCCTGGTAGAACAAAAATAACCCATTTATTAACTTCTATTTTTATAAACGAAGTAAGCCAGTTAATCTTTAGTTTTCATTGAATGGATGATTGCAAAACGTGTAGTATTAGCTTTGGCTTTGCAGTGGAATATTTTTACGCTCAAGGAAATGTTTTTTATTCAAAATCAAACTTGTGACTCGGTCTTCCATTTGCATCACTTACAGGGGAAGGCTGTCAAGATTCATTTCTTGAGCTAATACCAAGATGATTGCTGGATGATGAAGGTTATTTATAACAATACATTTCTAAAAATGTACTTAAAAGTTGGGTTAATTGGGTTTCCTTATATTTATTGTAGATATTCCCGTATCTTCCAAATCCAACGACCCTACAATCACATTATTTACATGAAATATAATATCATAGAGGTAGAATGGTGAGATCTGATACGTATTTTTGAATTTACATTATATATTGATTGTAGCTTCAGCGTGCCTTCCTCTTCGTGCAAATCATAGTTGCACTAATTCCTTACGAAAGTCACTGGGAACAAGGCTGCTTCAACATATAATGGCTGATAAATCTTATAACAATATTTTTTAAAAAGTTATGCTCTATATAGGTAATAAAACGCAGTGTAGTGATAATCAAACGTGTTGCTGTGTGTGTGTGTGTGTGTGTGTGTGTGTGTGTGTGTGTGTGTGTGTTGTGTGTGTGTGTGTGGTGTGTGAGTGTGAGTGTGAGTGTGAGTGTGAGTGTGAGTGTGAGTGTGAGTGTGTGTGTGTGTGTGTGTGTGTGTGTGTGTGTGTGTTATATATATATATATATATATATATATATATATATATATATATATATATATATATATATATATATATATATATGTACATTGAAAATCACGAATTTTCATGAAAACTGCTACAAGTATAATGAAGAAATACACATATAATGAAAAGCTGATGTTTGTAGATATGTTGTGAGGAAGGATGGAACGTTTTGCATTACATTCTCAGAACAACTAAGAGGACAGCGAGACTCTGTTAACATTCAACATTATTGCATTCCGTCTTTGGTTACAGTCTCTTCATCGACTTTATTTTTACACTGGACTCAGATCGTCGAGGAAAGCACTATCACAGTCTCCATCCGAAATATATGTATGGAGAAATGTATGTATGTACAATGGCATTTGTGTATGAATAAAAAGAATTCACGTATGAATAATTGAACATGTGTATGATTAATAAACTTGTGTATGTTTGATGAAATTTGTGTATTATTATATGAGTGCTATGTAATGAAATATTGGTACGAATAATGTGTATATTTTTTATGGAAATTAAATGTATTATGTAATATATGACTGTATAATGACATATATGTGTATGATAAGATGTACTTACTGTTTCATTGATACTTGCAGCATATTTCATTAATTCAGTTTGCATATTTCATGAATACATGCAGCATATTTCGTCAATTCATTCAGCATATTTCGTTAATACATGCAGGATATTTCATTATACATGCAAAACATTTCATTATATATAAACACATTTCTTTGTACATGCAGCAAAATTCATTATATATACAACGTATGACATTAGACATATGTGCTACATTGTACAAGCAACATATTTCATACCTATAGATGTTTCATCATAGTTATACGACATATTTCATCACATTTGGAAAATATTCTAACATACATGCAACAATATTTCATTAAATATACAGTATATCTCATTTACACACTGCAACCTAATTTTAAGCAGCACATTTCATTATAATACACATTTTTCATTCTACATACGGCTTAATTGATTATACTCTTAGCATATTAGGCCTACATTATGTATGTACGCAGCGCGTTACATCATATATGCAGCATATTACATATATACAGCATAATACATTATACTGACTGCATAATTTTTGTACTTACAGCATATTTGATTATTTGCTACATACAAAATATTACATTAGAAACACATATTAATTACATGACATACAGGAACGCCTACATCACTTTATTATACAAAAGTTGATTTGCAAAGATAAGGAAATCACATGGAATAAACAATCATATAGAATATATGGGGAATTTTAAAAAAATCTCAACTCTATGGTATATTTAGACACCAGGAATTCTATACTCAGGCCTCGTCAACACGACTTGGATGAGGCAACTTTGTTCCCAGTGACTTGGGGATGGAAATACCTCTCGTGCATGACTTTGTTCTCGTCAAGGGTATTCAGGAATAAGATCAAGTCACACGGTAACTCTTTGAATCTTGGTGTAACGGTAACTATGAATCTTAACATAATGTATTTCGGTTTGTGGATAGCACTCTCTTGGCTTGGTAAAAGTGAAGGATTTTGGTCAGATTTCCCGGTGAAGGTAATGTTCTTGTCACTTCAATCTAGTCATTATGGCAGGATGAATTCTCGATGACTTTGACAAGTATTTCACGTGTCTTGTTTGATTATTTCCACAATCATTCGCGAACCAAGAACAGGAGTGTGATACTCATTTCTTAAATATCCTAATTTTTAATGTAATTCTGCGGGCACACGTCTGGCCGACCTGCAAACCTGCTGGCCTTACCGTTCCTGAGCGAAGTCGGGGCTCAGGTCAGCACGCGTCATTGGCAATGATGAGTTGGCACAAATGACCAAAGCAGCAGACAGCCACAACCCGGGATTTCAGAGCCAAGGCAATGATCACGTGTTATGAATTTCAGCTGAAATCCCGTCGCCTCACGTCTGCTGGTGCGCAGTTAGCCTGAAGCAACCCGCGTTCCTTTAAGGGCCGTACTTTAAAAACATTTGAACGGCGGCGCTCGTGGTCTGACGCTCACGAGCGACTCGAATCCTTACTCTAAAGACAAGGCAACGCCAGGGAACTCCACCGCCGCCGCTGACGGTCGAGCTCCACAGATGGCGCTCGAACGCCAGGAGAAGCGCTAGCTTTCAAGACATTTGTTGCTATAAAGCGAACGAAAACATAACATCGGCGCGAAATTTGAAGGCTGTAGACACTTCCTGCTTGGACATGGCGCCAAAAGCAGCACCAACTGGCACTTTTGAAAAGGAGTGCCTCCTCGAAATTGTCAAAGATCACATAGAGATAATAAATGACAAGTCATCAGGTATTGGCAAAGTTGCAAAAAAGCACATTGTTGGCAAGACATTGCAAATATCTTATTTTTTCTAAAACAGGCTGTAGAAAAACTCCCATCCAGGTCAGAAAGGTCTGGAAATCCCTTCGAAAATCGTAAGTTGTATTATGATTCTTAAATGCATACAGATTTACCTTTAATGACCTATACAGAAATTAAACATGCATCCATAGTTTAATATTTATTAATACTAGTGTTTTTATGTCCACAGAGCAAAGAACCATTATTCATGCTATAAGCGGAAAATAAAGAAAACTGGGGGAGGTCCACCACCACAGTCTCTAGATAACATCACACAAGGCGCTGCAGCTCATTGAAGGCGAATTGGAGCCACTGGCGAATGTGTGATTCGGATGCTGGAATACATGCTGAATCTAATGCCATTACCGGTAATTTTATTTCTTTAGAGCAATAGTTTTATATATGAAACTGTTTCAATAAGCTGTGTGTAGAGGGGTATAGAAAGTGTATGTATTTTTACACAAATGTGCTTGTCTGATGTCTGCATTTTCTGATTTCAGATTCATTTGCTGATAGCAATCCTGGGCCAACCCCGATTGTCACACCACCTGTGGTTCAAGACCTACCAAAAGATGGCGATACCCTGGTTTTTATCAGAGATGACTTTCACATCAGATGAGGAAGCAGCAGCCCAAGGGCCTAGTTGTGAGGAAGAAAGCGCTAGGCCTACGTACTCCTCACAGACTACAGCACCGAAAAGAAAGAGACAGGCAAAGAAAGATGCAGCTTACGACGCTGCTCTTCATGAAGCTGCAATTCGATGCAGAAAGAAAATGGAATTAGATGAAATATTTCACAAAACACAAATGGAGTTTTTAAGAGAATATCATGAAAAACAAATGGAATGTCATGAGAAACAATTGGAAGTGTTACAACTCCAAAAATTATATTAGGAGAAAAAAAGGAATATGAATCTGCATTTAGTAAAAGACGGTAAATAAAACATTTGTCTCAATTCTTTTCAGTTTTATTTTTGGTATGTTCACACCTAATATTAAGAGATTACACATATATTCCCATAACCTTTAAAACTATACTGTCTTTGTACATCGATGTACAAATACATGTCCTCATGCCACTTCACAACCACATCTTGCACCAAAAAGGTTATACAAATCTTGCACAGAAAACTCCCACCAAAAAACATTATACAATATCAAATGTAATATACACGAATAATTATTTGCATCTATAAAAATGGTGTACTTAATACACACTACTGACAATGGCTGCTCTTTTCCTGTAAAACAACAGCACTGCATATTGCCAACATAGACGTATTCAGTTTCGTTCGTAACTGAGAAGAGAGTACTCTGAACCTTCTCTTCCATACACCAAATGTCCTCTCTATAACATTTCTTGTCTTGGCGTGTGCTGCATAATACCTTACTTTAGAGTCTGTGTTAGGGTTGCTTATTGGTGTCATTGGGTATGCTCGTAGAGGATAAGCAGAATCCCCTAGCATATGACCTGTATTCTGGCTTTGCTCCAGTTTCATACACATGTCACTGTTTGTAAAAATTCTGCTACCATGCACAGAACCGGGCCACCGACAAACGATATTATGAAATTCAAGGTTAGGGCCACATACACCTTGAACATTTAAGGAAAAAAATCCCTTTCGGCATCTGAATTTTTCTGCACGTTCCCGCCCAGGATTTTCAATTGGGATATGCGTGCAGTCGATTGCCACAATTACACCAGGAAAATTTGCTGTGTCCTGAAATTTTCGATTGGTAGCCCGAATGGCTAGCCTATCTGGAAATACAACATAACGTTTAAATGTACGAGCAATTGACAACAAAGTTTCCTTGATGCATCTACTGACAAACTGTTGTGATACACCAAAGTCGTCTGCAATTGTCAACTGCAAGCTGCCAGTAGCCATCCATCTCAAAGTAATGAACAGCCTTGTGTGTGGGGGGGGGGGGCAGGGGCGCTTATAAATAGGGAAAATATTGCTGTTATAATAATGTAAACACATTAGTCTATTCATAATATATACTTGTATATATATATACAAGTTACACATAACGATATACATATAACTATAACTATATGACTATATAGATAAATAGATAGATATAGGTATATTAGTTATATCTATAGTTATATATTTAGTTTATATATATATATATATATATATATATATATATATATATATATATATATATATATATATAGATAGAGAGAGAGAGAGAGAGAGAGAGAGAGAGAGAGAGAGAGAGACAGAGACAGAGACAGAGACAGAGACAGAGACAGAGACAGAGACAGAGACAGATGAGAGAAAGAGAGAGAAATAGAGACAGAAAGAGATAGATAGAGAGATAGAGATAGATAGAGAGATAGATAGATAGATAGAGAGAGAGAGAGAGGGAGGGAGGTACATGCTTGTTTGCATGTGTTTGTGAATTAACATATATAATTATACAAAGACAAAATATTGTGTACATACAGCATACATCACATATATGATTATAAAACCGCATTACAAACCACTGCCGTCGCGAAATTCAGGTAAATGGATGTCATTCAATACAAATTTCACGCTGTTCTTCGAGATCCCGAATCGAGCGACGAATTCTTCTTCACTCAGGCTCAGAAAACAATGATTTCTTTCTGTTAACACCACTCGTGGAGGCTGTGTTACTGCTGCTATGTTGTGTATTTCTTCAAGCTGATTGATTTCTTCTATATCTGCTGAAGTTTCTGCCATTTCTGCTACCTGGAGAGATAGATAGCAGCTGCAAAAGTCATATGTGAAGGTATCAGCCTACCAAGTAATTTTTCGGCATTGCTTTGGGCCATGAAAAGTGATTTTCGTGTTCGTTATATCAAGAAAAGCGTTTTGAAATATATCAGAATCGCCATTGTTTGCAAGTAAACAAAAAAATTATAAATAAGGTTTAAATATGGGGAGCGTTTTCGCTGACGACTCACCCTGGGATACAATCCAAAATATGTAATGTCTTCGAAAAATATTCTATTTTATAAACAAAAACGAAATCTTTAAATAAATCTGACCAAAAAATAAGCCTTCTTGCTTTTAAGGACAGAACCTGATTATTGCGTAAAAAATATTTGATAAAAAAAAAAAAAAAATGTCAAACGCCACCATAAAGACACATTCATGCTGGTAAATAATAATAATTCCAATAATGTAATTATGCATCATGGAGACAGGTAAAAGCGAGATTTTTCAGAAAATGATGCACGCACTGCCTCTGGTGGCAGAGGGCAAATAAATATAAACTGCAAGATAAAAATAGAGGTATAACACCGCCACTCAGGTTGCAATAATGCAACGCCAGTTCCGGGCGTCGGAACAGCAGGAGTTCAAGTTCGGGTTTTTAAAGTACGAAACTGGTCCACCGCCATTTGAGCGCCAGCGCCAGTGGTGGCGGTAGACTTTTGAAGTACGGCCCTAAGTCGCGCGGCTTGACTAATAGCCAGACAACTCTAATAAGTAATAACTAATAACCCAAAGCCCGGGTTCCCGCCATATGCGTTATTCGCCGTGTATCATTGTATAACTCTTTGCCGATTTCCTTGCAGCCACAACATATCACCGAGTACGACCACAACATTATTACTTCGAAATGAACCGGCAGCCAGAGTGGTAAATTCGTCAATGGAGCATTTCTCTCGGTATTTTTTCCATCGCAACAAAATCACATAATTAATTGATAAAAAAAATATTCTCGTTAAATCGTGCACCTATTCCAAAACTCCGCCCGAATCGAAAAACGCCCACTTTCATCTATGCGGGCGTGAACATGTGCCCTACACATTTATGATTGATATATCAAATCCAGAAACTCCATTTCATTTCTCCATTTCTCATCCACGTATTTATTTTTCATTTGCCTACACCTCCCACCCGTTTATTATTCAGGAGTCTTACCCTCTCGTTTACTCTTTTATTCTTCAACATGTTATAGTTTTTACTTCAATTTATTATGGTTTTCCACAATTCCCCAGATTATTTTTGATCACTTTTATATGTGTTCGTACGCTATTTATTATTGTTATATAAATTTAAGCGATGTATGATTACACACGTATACATTATTATAATTTATAGAATTCACTCAAGTTAAAAGATATGAATGACAGAAAACTGCAAATAATTAAAATTACCGATTCTTAAAAGCTTTGCAGTGAGTGTGACTAGTCTCACCATTGATATAAAAGCTTTACATATCATTTCAAAAATGATAATACAAACGTCCTTGACACACAGATGGGCAGTATCGCGATACATGCATCGGCGATACGGATCGATCGATACTTTTGCACTGGTATCGGCATCACACATACACACACACACACACACGCAAACACACACATACACACACCACACACACACACACACACACACACAACACAAATACACACACAAAAACAAACAAACACACACACCACAAATACAAAACAAACCACACTCACACACACACAAAAAACACACACACACACAAACACACACACACACACACACAAAGATGGGCAGTACTGCAATACATGTATCGGCGATATATTTACTGTGTCTTGGTATCGGTATCGCCTCAGCCATTCAAGAACAGAATCTTTTTTATCGGTATCTCTCAAAAGTATATCGAAAAAAATAGATGAATCGACACATTTACATGAAATTATAATTGATATTTATAAATTGAAAACGAATCGCCTTTTCTTTACTTCACTACTTATTAGTGGTTATTCTTTTCTTCTTCGGGCGTTTCATGTAATGTAGAAAATGCACTATGGTACGGTTTAATGGGATTTTTTCACTTAAACGACACTGTGTGTGTGTGTGTGTGTGTGTGTGTGTGTGTGTGTGTGTGTGTGTGTGTGTGTGTGTGTGTGTGTGTGTGTGTGTAACACATATATATTATATATACATATATATACATACACACACACACACACCACACATATATATTATATATATATATATATATATATATATATATATATATATATATTATATATATATATATATATATATAAGCGAGAGAGAGAGAAAATGAGAAGGAGACGTATAATGTTACAAAATATTGCACATACTAACAAGTGTTCTTTGAAGCATTCAACATTTAGATGTATTTCGTATTCATTATGCATCATGGAGACAGGTAAAAGCGAGATTTTTCAGAAAATGATGCACGCGCTGCCTCTGGTGGCAGAGGGCAAATAAATATAAACTGCAAGATAAAAATAGAGGGAACAGCATAGATTGAAACAGAGTGGCTAGCTAAAAAAACGTATACGAGGTTAAACTGAAAATAGGATAGAATGGTGAAATAAAAGAGACGAAATTGAAACAAACATTATATATAAAAGGTTTAACCAAATGAACAAAGAAAAGGGAGAAAATGTTCTGCAGAATGGAACTGAAAAGATGGTTGGACAGGAATGAAAGATTGATGCGTGGATGGGAATAAATGACATTATGGTCACGGTGTTAAAAGTGCTGAGTTGCAGGCAATACATACATTTCCATACTCGTCGACAACCATATTATGCATATATATGGACAATAATGTTTTAATAAAATTTCAGAGACAATAAATCCATGGAATTCATGAATTCAAATGATCCAAATAGAAATACATACAGGGGAAGGTAACAAATGAAATGAAACGGAGAAGTCAAAAATTATAGCAAAGCTTTTAAAAATCTAGACACATAGCAACATGGAACAGGAACAGCATTGATAATCCGCATACATAAACAAACAGAAAAAATGCGTGTAGAAAACCTATGCATTTTAGAACATTAAGTCAAAGCATACATAATGCGTATGTACAAATCACAGTCAAGATTCTAATAATGTAGAACGTGTTACTTCACCTCTCGATTGCTGCAGAAATACGCTCAGATTTTCACTGAGAATATATACACGCACGTATGGCGGTATCATGTTTATCTGTTTAACTAAACATCATCGTATTTTTCATAAACGCATTTCTTAGTACAGCTCGACTAAATAAAAAAAAGTATTTCGGCTTTTCTTGTGCACACCAGCGTTGGACTCGGCGAAATCCACAGCCAGGTCTTCCGTGCTGTGGTCAGACCCCCTGTTTTGAAGCTCACAATATACCTGCGCGGATTTCTCCAGCAGGAGCAGCACCGGATATGGGGACGCGCAGGAGAGCAGCGTGAGAGCGTCCTCGTGAACCGTGTGCCCCGTGCTCGCCGCCAGGCCCAGGAGGCGGTCACCTGGAGGGAAGACGGAGCGGTGAAGGAGGGGATGGAAAAGACACGTGGGAGTAGATGGCAGTGCCTGGGATTAACAGTGTCATCAACTGGAGATTCTAGAGATTTGCCTTTTAAACACTGAATGACGTCAGTGAGAGACTAATACTTTAAAAAACGAAAACAAATATGGTGGTGCTTGATGTAAATACCTGCAATGAATAGCAGGATACACCTAGCTGTGTGTTATTCGTAATTATGGTATTATATATGATATTTGTTTTTGTATAGCTTTGAGAAACCATGAAAAGATGCATTTTTTTATTGGAATAAATGGCTGGACGCAAACAATGGCACGATGAAAGGGGAACATTAATTGGAAGCTTCATCGCTTTTATTCAGTTTTAATCGTGGGTTGCTTGGCCGAGGAATGTTCAAAGGTTAGCTTTATTCGATATTTTTACTGGCGTTCATAATTAACAAATAATTTTTTTTTTTAATATGAAATGGGATAGTCCAAGAATACCAACAATTTAATACAATTTTCTTCAGGCTTTCAGAGATTTTAGGATTGCTTCATCACGTGACAAACTCTCTTGGCGCAAGGGAAACAAAATGATAATTGCGTATTATTATTTTTATTTATTTTTTCACTGATAACATTAACAAATTCATCCTTGTCGTTTCACA